AAGAAAAGAAAAATACAAATAAAAAAATATCTAAGGAAAGGTTCAGTAGGTTTAAAACACCTGCTACCAAATTTAACAATCTGTGTTTGATCCCTGAGACTCATAGGGCAGAGGTTAGAAAACCAATTCCCCAAAATTATCCTCTGGCCTCCAGATATGTACCATAATATATATACTTCTACAATCAATACATAAGTGTAATTTTAATTTAATAAGATATCATCCCACACAGAATAGCTATTACAAAAAAAAATTACTAGGTTTTTTTGGAGGTGCTTATCTTTTTGAGACAGGAACTTACTTACAGTTCTACCTGCCCTGAAGCAGTTTACCAGTAGAACAGGTAAACCAGTCTGGCCTTGAACTCAGAGATACCCTGCCACTAGCCACCGCCTCTGAAGCTTAAAGGCGTGTTCCACTAGACCCCAGCTAAAACATTATTCTTAAGCCATCTACCAAATAGCAGGGTGTCAGAGTGTGAGGCTGGGCGAAGGTGGCGCACGCCTTTAATCCCAGCACTCGGGAGGCAGAGCCAGGCGATCTCTGTGAGTTCGAGACCAGCCTGGTCTACAGAGTTAGTTCCAGGACAGGCTCCAAAGCCACAGAGAAACCCTGTCTCGAAAAACCAAAAAAAAAAAAAAAAAAAAAAAAAAAACAAAAAAAAAACAAAAACAAAAAAAAAAAACAAAAACAAAAACAAAACAAATAGGGTATGGTAGTGCACACCTTCGATCCCAGCACTCAGGAGGCAGAGGCAGCTGGATATCTGAGTTTGAAGTCAGCCTGGTCTACATAGCAAGTTCCAGGTAAACCATGGCTACACAGAGAAACCCTGTCTCGAAGAAAAAAAAAAAAAAACCCACAATCCTTTAAGTGATGGTGAGGATGAGGATGTGAGCAAGGCAAGGGAAGCCCACCTAACGGATGGGAAGGTAAGATGGCATAACAACCCTGGAGAACAATGGAGGATCCTCAAAACAATAGAAATGGAACCACCACATCTTTCAGAAATCTCAATTTTGGATATTTACCCAAAGAAACTAAAATCAAGCGATCAATGACGTGCCCAGGTGTGGTAACCCAGGCCTTTAATCCCAACACAGAGGCAGGCAGATCTCTGAGTTCAAGGCCAGCCTGGTCCACAGAGTAAGTTCCAGGACAGCCAGGGCTTATACAAAAAAATCCTGTCTCCAAAAAATAAAAAATAACAACAACATATTTTAAAGAGGTAACTTCATTCCTATGTCCACTGTAGCATTATGCACAACAACCAGAATATAAAAACAATATTAATTGCCATATGCCAGGTAAATAAATAAAGAAAATATGGTCTATGTATGTGTGGATGGATAGATAGATAGATAGATAGATAGATAGATAGATAGATAGTAAGTATATACCCTGGAATATTTTTCAACCTTTAAGAAGGTTGAAACTTACAGCACAGACAAACCTGGAGCACATTATGCTAAGTGAACTAAGCCAGAAATTAAATAATCTCATTTGTGTGTAAAACAGAAGACAAGCAAACTCAAATATGCAGAAGGAACAAGGGTGATTGCCAAGAGCTAAAGGAATAAAGAACAGGGAGGCAGTGGTCAAAGCCAACAAAGTTTCATTTCTGCCAGATAAATAATTCTAGAAAGCTACTATATAGCCTATTGACTACAGCTAAAAATATTGCATCACACCTAAAAAGAAATAAACTGTATCATACTGACAAAAAATATCTGCATCAAAGAGAAAAGGAAATAATGATATGTTGGAAAATAATATATAATCAGGCTGTGGTGGTGCACTCCTTTAATTCCAGCACTCGGGAAGAAGAGGCAGGTGGATCTCTGAGTTTGAAGTTAGCCTGGTCTACAGAGCTAGTTCCAGGACAGTCAGAGCTGTAACACTGAGAAACCCTGTCTCCAAAAAGAAAGAAAGAGAAAGAAAAAAAGAGAGAGAAAAAACAGAAAACATAAAAATGGACGTATTAAAGAGAGCAGAAAAACTACAGAAGTAATTGCTGTTCTGGTGGTTTTCATGGTGGTGGGCGTTTTACAGGCTTATTCTTATCCCCAAACTCCTCAGGCTCTGGACTGATGGCACATGAATGCAATCCCAGAACTTGGGAAGCAGAGGCAGTAGAAGCAATCTCAAGGTCCAGGACAGCTTGGTCTACCTAGCAAATTCTAGGACAGCCTAAAACATACAGCAAAACCCTGCCTAAAACAAAGCAAACAAAAAAATTAACTTAAAAAATAAATGTAAGGGACTGGAGAGATGGTTCAGTGGTTAAGAGCACTGATTACTCTTCCAGAGGACCTGGGTTCAATTCCCACATAACAGCTCACAACTGTCTATAATTCCAGTTCCAGGGAATCTGACACCTTCACACCAATGCACATAAAATGTTTTTAAAAAACATTAAAAGTAGAAAAGATTTTTTTTTTTATCATTCCAATAAAGCAGAATGCTTCTAGTTGATCTGCTTCACTACACAGATACCATTTTAGACTAAGACAAAACTCTAGGAATAATGCTTGGTGCTATGATTTCCTAAATCAAATAAACAAATAAGAAAGTGAATGAAAATAATTTAAAATCATGAGAAGGGGAGAAAGATTAACATAAAATGTGAAAAACAGCACAAAAGCAGAAAAAAAAGAACGCCTTGATCTCTATGGTACAAAGAGGAATACATTTCTTAATATAAAAAGGAGGGTCTTCTAAAGCAACAAAGTAGTTGCCTTTAATTGGAAGGGAGAAACAGGTGGATCTCTGTGAGTTCAAGGCCAGCCTGGTCTACAGAGCTACTCCCAGAACAGGTTCCAAAGCTACAAAGAAACCTGTTTCAAAACACCCCCTCCCCAAAAAAGAATAAAGTAGTAAGCAATTCTCATCAAATTAGGCTTTGCAGACAGGAAGAAATAATCTATTAAAGACCCCACCAATACAGAGGGTATGCTTAAGTATACTAGAAAGGGTGAACTAGGAGAGCTACATTCCTATAACAAAACAAATTAAAGAGCTAACCACATTCAAATCAATTTACTTCCGGAATACCTAAGAAAGAAATACACAACATATTTCATATATGTAACATTTCATAAACTTAATAAATTCAGACCTGTATCTTTTCCTCTTCTATAGGTCCAATAGCTCACAGTATGAGAATATCTCTAAAAATTTCTCAGAGAAAGCAATTAGATTCATCATCTGCTACAGCTATAACATAAATCCCTTTAAGAGTAAAAGGCAAATATTTCAAAGTAAATCTTAAGAGACAACTGTTTATAGTCTTTTAAAACACTTTTAAAAAGAGTTCTCAAAATAATGTTTCATTAGTATCCTTCTAGAAAAACAATCACTTTCATTCTAGCCATTTAAAAGCTACCAAGTGTTCATTTCTACATTAGACTATTGATTCTTTGCCTTTTAACATCTCCTAACAGCTGCCTGACAAATTACCTCACCTTACTCCTCGGGGGTAAGGACAGCATAAGATCTCTGAATTCAAACACGGGACCACAGACTGACAGAGGGAGGTGAGCTAATTGCCTCAGATGAGTCTGACACTCCTCTAATAGACTAGGCATTCAGAACATGATACAATTACATGCCTACACTCTAAATATTTTATTTGCACTTAAGTGTAGAGGCCACACTGTTCCTTAAAATTATTTAAGATTGTGACAGCGTCAGTTCTAAGTTAAGAAATGTGTATACGTTAGGGTAGTTTCTACAGGAAAAAAAATCTTTAAAACACTTAGCTCAACCAAAGAGATCTATACACTCCTAAAAGTCTACTAAATTAAGACAGCTCAAAAATACTTTTCAGATTTTTCACAGAAAAAGATTTCCAAAGACACAATGAATATATTTCGTAGCATGGTAAAATATTTCTGTTGTTTATACTAAATTTCATTCTGCGTGGTGTCAAAACAGTATAAAACAGAAAACTTACATAAACAATCAAAACTTTGTAAATCCCTACAGACCCTTACATAGGATAAGTAAGAAAAAAGGTGTGAATTTAAAGGGATATTTTAAATAACACGGTTCAGCCAAAAGTCTCTCGAGAAGTTAATCGCTTTCTAGGCATTATCCATTTGGCTCACTGAATTCAGACCCAATCTCGTAGGAACGCACACGTCTCCCTAACTTTAAGTGACACCTGTGCCAGGTTCGTGTTCTGCACTGTGGGTGAGGGAAGTTCAGGGTCTCAGATCTCGTCTTTTCACAGAACTAAGTCATCCCCTGCTTCTTCGAGTGCCACTTCTGCAACTGTATGGACAACAGTGCTAGGTTGGCTTTTGTAACCCATTTCCTCAACAGAAACGTAGAAAGCATGTCACTTCGGAATGATGGTGCCCACTCGACACCTTTCTTTCTACACACTCCTGTTGTGACTTAAAAGTACTCTGCTCTCTAGCAGGACCTCGGTTCACCCGACAGCTTACAGCGCCGCGTCTCATCTGTCTTGCCTAGGGAGGCGTTAAGCGTCGGTTTTGTTTTTAAAGTTGGTGTCAGAGGAGCTACAAACTTTTTTCAGCATCCCTGCCTGCCTGCCAACTGGAGCTCTGTTCACTTCCTTACCAACTTGAACCACCCCCAAACTAAGTAAGCTCAGTTAGACAGCGGCAGGAGCTGACACACTTTCAAGAAGGCTTTGACACCGCGGAAAACTTTCACTTCTCTCTTCTCCCCTTCCAAGCCAGGGACAGCAGCCCTGGGTTCTCGCTTCCTCTAGAATTCCCCTCCGAAGCCGCGCAAGGACACGGAAGGCAAACCGTTCTAATGTCCCCGAACAGGACCCCAAGAGCCCTCTCCCGCGGACTCGAGTGCTGTTCTTTAACACAAAAGAACCGGGCCGGCACAGCAGAGGTGCTGGAGTCACGGCCCTTGGCGGCTGCCACCCTCCACCGCACCCGCAGACGGTCTCCGGCCAGACAAAGCCCGGGCGGCCGGGCAGGCGCTCTCAAGTCTCGGTCGCGGGCCGCCGCTCTTACCCGGGCCTCGTCCAGGGCGCCGCCGCTTCCCCCGGCCTTGGCTGCCGGGCAGCTGGCCGCGCGCGTCTTGGAGGAGCGGGTCCGAGAGGAGATGAAATGGCTGCTGCCGCCGGTCGCCCCCGGCTCCGCTCCGGCCCCAGGCCCAGGCCCGGGCCCAGGAGACTTGGACCCGAGAAGGCGCAGAGAGCTCTTCCGGGTGTTCACCATGGTCCAGCCAGAGGACTGGGTCCACGCCGCGCCCGCCGCTCCCGGGAGAGGCGAGGAAGGCCGGCGCGCCGGCAGGCAGTCAGGGCCAGCGGAGCCTCGCCGGGCCGGCTCGCGTTGCCTCTCTGGGACGCAGGCCACGACAAGCAAGAGAGGGGCAGGAGCCAGCGGCAGCGCGAGGAGGCGGGGAGCGGGAGGCGGAAGCGAGGCTGCAGGCCGGCCGCACAGACCCAGCTCCTGCTCAGCCGTCCTCAGCGGGAGCCGAGCGGAGCCGCCATGTCTGCCCCTTTCTCTCTCGTTCTCTCTCTCCCTCTCTCTTGCTTGCTCGCTCGCTCTCTCTCTCTCGAGCACCGTGCGTCAGGGCTCTGGCGCCGCAGGGCCGACAAGGCCGCTTCCGGCCTCGGCCGCTGCGGGGCGCTGCAAGAACGCGCAGCCCTTTCCTCTCCGCAGCCTCCATAGGCTCCGCCCACCCGTGACGTCAGCGCCCGGCGGGGGAGCGAGGGAGGCGCTCTGTGCTGTGAACTCGGAGGGGCTAGGTTTCCCTGGCCTGTCTAGACTGGGGGATGGGCAGCGCCGACTAGGGTGCGGGACCGGTTCCCGTGTGGAACGTAGCCCGGACCCTTCAACGCCCAGCCAGGACCGAAGCCCCTAGACACCCGCGACCCCTGCGGTGGCCTGGTTGACGCAAGGAACGGCCTGTGAGGCGCGGGATGGAAGGAGACTGGAGAAGAGGGCGCGGTGNGGGGGGGGGGGGGGGGGGGGGGGGGGGGGGGGGGGGGGGGGGGGGGGGGGGGGGGGGGGGGGGGGGGGGGGGCAGTTCCAATTGCCTAGCTGCCTAAGGCAAGACCTTTAATGAACTTGGGCTGCACTTTGCACGACTGTACAAACGAGAATGGCAGAGGAAGGACACCTCCTCGGTAGTCAAGGTAAACTGAGAAAGGAAAAAGAAAAAACAACTTAGGAGCCTTGCATCTTTTTTCACCCACCGCGCAGACTAGACTGGCCTTGAACTCTTAAAGACCCAGGGATTAAAGGGGTTAAAGGCAAGATGAGGAGCACCTCATCTTTAAGCATAGAGAAGCAGTGTTGTTTCCTATGACTTTAGCCAGATCTTCCTGAGTGATTTTAGCAGCCTCCTACTGTGCACCCATAAGCAAAATTAAAACAAAACATTTCCAAAGGAAGGGGAAAAATAAAGCACACATAATATGAAAAGATCTGCTATTATGGATGGAATAATAAATGCTCATTTCAAAACATCATAGTTTATCAGAGATAGCCTACTCTATTTGGGCAGCAATTTCCCTTGTTATTACATTGAAAAATTGAAGAATGAAGAAATTTATGTGTTTTTTTAAAAAAAAAAAAAAAAAAACAAGTAGCTTCATAGCAACAACATTTTATCCATGTAAGTCCCCAGCAAGAAAAATTAAATAATGAGCTTCAATCAGCCTCACAATGTCTGTGTACAGAATAGTTAGAATTCCAGAAAAACAAAAAACACTTGAGAGGCAAAGATGACATCAAATTGAGATCAAAGCCTGGTCTACAGAGTGAGTTCCAGGACAGCCAAAGCTACATAGTGAGGCCCTGTTTCAAAAAAAAAAAAAAAAAAAAAATAGTTCTGGACCTCAGGAGAGCTCACTGACAAAAGGACCAGAAGGCTTTGACCTGCAATGCAAATGTGGTGGGAGGCTTCCAGAGATGCACCTTGAGCTACAAAATGAGGGAAAGACATGGACAAAGAAAAGCTTGGAGAACATAGGACACAGTTGTCTGTACTAGAGAAAAAAATAACAAGTCAGTAAAACACTTTTTAAACTTTATTTAAAACTATATACAAATAAGGCTTGGGCATATAATGTAGTGGCAGAGCACTTGACTTCAGTATATATTACACACACACACACACACAGAGGTCAAACTAGCACAATAAAAAAATTACAATTAGAAGAGTTGACAAGATACTAAGTTTGGCTACTTTGGGAACAACCAAAAGCTAAGCCCTAGGGGGCTGGAGAGATGGCCCCCCCGCAGTTAAGAGCACTGGCTGTTCTTCCAGAAGACCCAGGTTCAAATCCCAGCACCCACATGGCAACTCAAAACTGTCTGTAACTCCAGTTCCAGGGGATCTGATACCTTCACACCAATGCACATAAGATAAAGATATATATATATATATACACTAAGCCCTAGAAGGCACAAAGACAAACTTCTAAAGATCGCTTTTATTTTCAATGTATTTGTCGGATCCCAGTGAACTCAGAACCTCTCTATTTTAAGATACGAAAAAGAACTGGGTATTGTGGCACAGGTCTGTAATCCCAGCACTTCAGGAAGCTGAGCCAAGACAATTTCAATTTTAAGGCTAGCTTGGACTATAGCAAGGTGAAGGTCAAGCCTGGGCTACCTATTTAAAAAAAAAAAAACAAGTATTCTAGGTAAGTGTTCCACCACAAACCTTCACTACTAGCCACATGTTTTATTGTCCAGACAGGATCTTACTAAATTGCCCAGGCTAGCCTATGTACAAATTTGTAATCTTACTATTTCAGTCTCCTTGGCAACTGGGATTACAGGCATGTGCTGCCATGGTAGCTATGAAAAAATACTCTTTTAATAAATGATGTTAGGACAATTGGATATATTTTTATGAATAAAAAAACCCTACTATTGTCTCATGTGTAAAGATTAACTTTAAATTGATTAGAGACATACATAAAGCTCTTAATTTTATTTTTTTATTATTCATTTATTGGTTTTTCAAGACAGGGTTTCTCTTTGTAGCTATGGAGCCTGTCCTGGAACTCATGCTGTAGACCAGGCTGGCCTCAAACTCAGTCTGCTTGCTCTGCCTTCAGAGTGCTGGGATTAAAGGCGTGCACCACCACCACCTGGTGAGCTGTTAATTTTTTTTAACTCAAAAATTGTATAAACAGCCAGGTGGTGGTGGCACATGCCTTTAATCCCAGCACTCAGGAGGCAGAGGCAGATGGATCTCTGTGAGTTCGAGGCCAGCCTGGTCTAGAAGAGCTAGTCCCATGACAGGAACCAAAAAGCTACAGAGAAACCCTGTCTTGAAAAAAAAATTGTATAAACATAGGATAAAGACATTTCTTAGCTGGGTGGTTGTGACGCATGCCTTTAATCCCAGCACTCCGAAGGCAGAAGCAGGTGCATCTCTGTGAGTACAAGGCCAGTCTGGTCTAGACCACTAGTTCCAGGACAGGCTCTAAAGCTATACAGAGAAACCCTGTCTTGAAAAATAATAAAATACAGAACAACACCAACAAAAAAGGCATTTCTTATAAAGGACACAAAAAAATATAAACTAAAAAAGAAAAGATGAGAAATTATCTAAATAAGAAAAAAATCATTTGCTCACTGAAAGATACCTTTTTTTAAAAGATAGAAAATGAGCCCCAAGACCTTAAAACTGTTTGGCAGTGTCCAGGTCTCAGCAAGCAGAGACAGGTGAACCTCAGTGAGTTTCCTATCACTCTAGTCTACATAGTACTTGTCAGGCCAACCAGGACTGCACAGTGCGAAGTCATATGGGAGGCAGGGGTGCTAGGCAAAGGCTTCACCGCTTAGCAACATCCTTAACCCAAAGGCTTTTTTTTTTAAAAATACTTATTCATTTTATTTTATATGTAGGTGTGTACACATGCAACACATGCAGTAACAGCAGAAGTCAGAAGAAGGCACCAGATACCCTGAAAGTGAAGTAATAGGCAGTTGTGAGCCACCCTACATGGATACTAGGAACCAAACCTGGGCTCTCTTCAAGAGCAGTAAGTGCTCTTAACTTGGACCATCTCTTCAGCACCCCTGATGGTTTTCCTCAAAAGTTTCTTTTAGGACTGGGTAGATAAAGCCCAGCAGTTAAGAGCGCTTGCTTACACAGGACCCAAGTTTGGTTCCCAGCACCCACATTCTGGTAGCTCATAACAACTTTCATTGTGTATCCAGTATATCCAGTGCCAGAGAATCAGCCACCCTATTCTAGCCAGGTTTTGCTTCCTTAGGTACCCTTAAGTATGTTTTAAGAAAATAAGTCTTTAAATAAAGGAAAACTACAAAGCACAAGTGGGAAAAATCAACAATAAAAAAAAACAGGAAGCAACTTTTTTGTGCATGGTGGCACCTGTAATCTCAGCATTCAAGACTGAGGTAAAGGATTTGGGGTGAGAAACTAGCCTGGGCTCAATAAGCAGTTTGGGGCAGTCTGAGTAACATAAACCCTGTAAACCGCCCCCCTCCCTTAAAAAATACATATAAAATGTATATAAAGCCTTAACAGAAAGAATAATGTAATAGTATTTTTTGATGGCCTTAGTGTGTAGCCCATGCTGTCCTCAAACTCATAATCCTCAAGCCTCAGATTCCCAAGTACTAGGATTACAGATGTGTGCCAGTGTGCACCCTGCGTGTGTTGATGGTTGATCTTCATCGTCCACTCAACTGGACTGAGATGTCTGAGACTACTAAGACCTTGAGGGCCCTGATCTAACCAACTGGTGGGTCACAATTTGAATGGACGATTGTGAGGTGGTAGAACCGTGAGAGGTTGAGAGCTGGTTGGGAGAAGTGGGTTGCTGGGGTCATGCCTTTGAAGGATACATCTGGGCCCCTTCCTGTTGTTCTCTGTGTGGCCTTCCATTAAGACATTGAGAAGCTTCAGTCTGCCACACAGCCTTGCTGTCTTGTTCTGCTCACCCCACCCCACAGCAATGGCTCAAGTTGACCCTGGTCTGAACCTTTGAGATCTTGAGCCAAAATGAATGGTTCCTCTCCTAAGTGGATTTTCTTAGGTGTTTTCATGTAATGGAAAGGTAATCCCCACAAATAAACAAAGGCAGTTTCTTCAAAAAGGACATTTCTAGTGCAAGAAAGGCAAAATACTCATCAGACTATAAGGAATTCTTTGGGAAGAGGCGATTCTGATTTAGTACTATGAGAGGCCATCCAAGAGACTATTTTTAAGCCTGATGCATGTGAAGGAACACTAAGTTATGAATCCAAATTTATGACATGAAATATGAGGTTGGTATACTGGCCCAGTGTGTTTACTAGTCATATGTAACTTAAAATTGCAAAGTTAAAAAGCCAGTTCTTCTAGATGGCGAGGCCTATCCCTGTAGTTCAAACCACTAGGCCTGCCTGAGCAACACAAAAAGACCCTGACTCTTAAAAAACATTCAGGGTTTGGGATACAATTCGGTGGGTAGAATGTTTGCTTAGCGTGCTGACAGTCCCAGGTTCTTGCTCTACATCTAGGGATGTAGAGGCCAGAGGACCAGAAATTCAAGGTCATCCTTGGTGATGTTTGGCAAGTTTGGCAGGACAGCAAGAGCTATGTGAGATCCTGTCTCAAAAAGCAAAGACAATTCTATGAACAACTATGAACAAAAAAATCATATAACGGATGAACAAATTATTG